GTCTCACTTGGGCTTAAAATGGCCTTGGTGGAGAGGAGGGGAAGGACATGGCAAAATTGGACCATGCACTTTCCATGGGGTGCCAAGGCATTTTAGATTTTTTTTAAGTTTTAAAAATTAGGAAGTACACTGGGAAACAGTCCTCCAAGATCCCATGAGGGCCAATGGAACTTCCCAATTCCTGACAGTTGCTCATCTTAATTCTGACCAAGTCAAGAACTATCCCACATCAGTTCAAAATACCAACTTCTGAGCTCATCAGTGGAAGGTGGACACAATTACTCCATCTATATGCTACAGTCAAACATATATTCATGTCATGCCTGCACACACAAAGACTGGAAAAATTACTTTTTGGACTACAGCTCCTAGAATTCACCAGTCAACATGGCTAGGTTTCTGGAATCTGTAGTCCAAAACAGTAACTTTTCCAATCCCTGATAGTTCAGCGCATGGCTAAAATGCTTTGCAGGGCACCAAACCCCTGCCACCTAGAAGTTTATTATTATTTATTTATTTAAACAATTTATTAATCTCTTCACTGCCCAGCAGGGCCCATGAAACAATGTACAAGAACAGAAAGTGAAAAATACATTAAAAAACAATTGTAAAGGCCCGTTTTTAAAATATTTTTTGAAAACCAGGTGAAGCAGAATACTAATATTTTAACCTCCTGCTAAAAGCTCAACAGAGGAAGGTCAGCCTGATTTTTTGTGGCAAGGAGTTCCACAGTCATTATGTCATTACTAAGAGAGCCCTGTATTGTGTATGTATTTCCACAGCATCTCTAGATGGTGGAACATCGAACAGAAATGCAACTCAGCATCCTCTATGGCTTTTAAGATTTCAGCGAACATTGCCCCTAACTTCAAGCCTATTTTTTGAGCCATGAGAGCTAGAAGGTTTCTATAAAAAAGAAGTCTAGCTAACTCAGTCTTGATTGTACTTAATTATTTATCCAACACCAAATAAAGGAAGCTTGCAGAGAACAGCAAAATGCACCTCACTGTGCAATGATGGGTTTGTCCATTCCTGTAATCCTTTGTACTAAACCATAAAAGCATTCCTAAAGCAGATTTATTTGTGACTTCTCCTGCCTGAAAGAACTACTCACCTCTGTGGGAAAGCATCCAGTTACGGGATTTCTTCAGGGCTGAGGATGATATGGACAGCTCCTGGGATGACTCCCCATCACTTTCAGAGTTGCTGTGGAAGGTATGGACATCACATCTTTCGTCAACGGCATCCTTTGAGTCTGTAGACTCCGCATCTTCTGTATTGGGGCCATTCTTGAAAACTAAATGGGCAAAAAAGTGACATCAGCTTGTTCTTTTACTGCCCTCTTCTGGCTTTTAAACCATAATTTCATCGGAAAAGAAATAGCTTTGGCAATATGCTTTGCACAACAGCTCTGACCCATAATTGCTCTGTCCCTGACCTGTCCCTTTTATTCACAGGGGAAACCCATGAATGACCAGGCAATTGCCCAAGTCCCCGGGTGTGAAATGTCACTCCCGGGACAGTTGCGAGATTGCCAGACACGTGGTATCAGTGTCCCCCTCCTTCCCCTGTCCCTTCTGCCTCTTGCTATTTCAAAGTGTCCTGATTATCTTTCTTTTATTTCTTTTCTTTTATTATCAATAGTGTGACTGCTGTGAGAAAGGGTCTCATACAGTAAAGACTTTTGTCTCTTGCAGCATAAAAAGGAGGAACCGGGGTGGGGGTGGGGAGAAAAGAAATGTGGCAGAATCTTTAAGAACAACAGGCTTTATTTTAGCATGAGCCTTTATAGATATAAATCCACTTATTGAGATGGAATACTAACTGTTATTAAGGCCTCAGATATAAATCATATTTAATAGAATCCAGAAAGATGCAAATCATGTTCCTCGCCCTAAATTTTCAAAGGGATACTCCTAGGCCTAAATTGGCAAGACAGAGGCAGCAAAACAGAGGTGGAAATTGGCAAGACAGAGGCAGCAAAATAGACAGAGGTGGAAATATATCCTTCATCTTGTAGTACACGTTTTAGGGCATTACAAAACAAAGCATTTTTTAAAAAATTGCAAAAAATGCTTTTGACCCCTAGGAGATGCAAGGGTTGAAATATTCTTCCACACCCCCTAGGGTGTGTTTGGGTGCATTGTTGGACCTCTGGGGGTCCTGGGGTACACACAAACAGGCCAAGCGAGCAAAATGTGGCCTGCAGGCTGCATGCAGCCCTCAGGACAGTTTTTATGACCCTTAGGAAGCACCAGAGGTTTTAAAAATATTTCTTTTTTAAAAGCCACAAGTAAACAGGATTTCCAGATTGTTTCCTGTTGAAAAAGAGGCATTTCCTAGGCCTAAAATGTCTGAGGTTAACAACAAAAAGTCTCCCACCCATGTCTGGTAGATGGCATTTGGGAACAAAAAGTATTTTTGAAGGTTTTCTTTTTCAGGGGTGTGTGGCAGAGGGGTGAGGCCCTACATGGTTTCCTGGAGAGCTAACATGACCCCCTGGCCTCTAACAGTTGTCCACACCTGACTCAGGCCACCTCAGGTTTCCTAAACTGGGAGGTGAGCAGTTGTCATGGGTTGGGGGTCCACACTGCCCCCATTTTGGGAATTCCTCCCCCCCCATTTTTTATTTTTATTTTTTACAATTTTGGGATGGTTCTCACAACCTTGGGAACCTCACAACCTTGAGGCGCCCCATGGGTTGTACTTTTCCCAACCTGACCTCAAATATCCTTTTGCTGCTGTGTCCTATGCTGACCTTCCTTCTGACCTAGACTGATAAACAGTGGTAAAGTGTTTCCCTGCCCCCATGTCTACGTTTTGTTTCAAAATACAGGAGCAAGACTAGCACTCTCCCTCTCTGTCCAGCTTATTTGGTCAAAATAAGACTTGGCTTATCTTTTTAGACCCCTGGAGTCCCTAAATGGCCTTAGGCCAAGAGCGAACAAATTGTTGTTGTTGTTAGCTACCCTCAAGTCAACCTCAACTCATGGCAATCCTGTGTATGAGACATCTCCAAGTCGCTCCCTCCCATGGCTCTGCTTAAATGAGCAACGTATCTTTGCTGTATTTTTCTTAAGGCATGTTCACTTTCTTACTTCCAATAAGAAAAGCACAGTAGGTAGTGACTCTGTTCCAGAGAAAACAAGTTCTCAAATCCTGATATTTGAAAGGTCTGCATCCATAAAACATAGCTATTTGCTTGCTTTGCCATCATCACTCATAGAATAAAGCTGTAGATTATGGGTAGATAACATTCAGGTTGCATGAAAACCCTGGTTGTTTTTGCTGCCACTGTCAAAAGCTCATAGTAGCGCTCCTGCCACCAATAGAAGCGGGGGGGGGGGGGGGGGGAGCATTCTGATGGGAATCCAATGCAGTGACACATGCACTCACACCAGGACATCTTCTTAACCTACTAAGAGCAGACTTACTTCCTATGCTCATTTCATTTATAAGGTTGAAGCATGTGCTCACAAATTCACATTTGTTTGTACCTCTTATGTGCTTGCTCCTTCTTGGAGGAAGGGTTTCAGAAGAGGCAAATCACCCATGCTTTTGGCCAGAAAATAGGTGATCTGGGGAACTACAAGTACATGTGAGGGGTTACAAAAACAGTTTTGGGAGGGCCACATGTGGTTTTCCCTTGCTGTAGCCCATACACAATCATACCAATTTGAAATTGAAGAAGAATGTGGGAAGATTTCCAGCCACAAACAGTAGCTTGTCCTACAAGTAATGGACAAATAGGAAATTAATCTTCTTGCCCTCCCTCTTTTTACACTTCCTTTGTGTGCTTTGGGAATCTGAGTGGAATGTACTTTTAATGCTATGTTGTGCTGCTTTATGGTTTATATAGTATTAATAAATTTTAATGTTTTTAACTTTATAGATTAATTGTCTTTTAGCTCACCTTTTAAATTTATATTTTTATTGAAGTGTATGCATAGTCTATTAATTTGTATAGTTTCAAAGTATGTTGTAAGCTGCCTTGGGTCCCATTATTGGGGGAAAGGCAGGATATAAATGAATAAAACCATCCTCATCCTCATTATCATACCTTCCATATCTGTGAGGACTGATGGAACTGTTGTTATTGGGGATGAGACTTCCTTCCTTGATTTTTGTGTCTTAGATTTGCACTCAGGACTTTTTGCTTTTGTGTCCACCATGGCAGATGAAGTCTTCTGTTTTGAGGACAAGACTTCTTTCTTTGGTTTGAAAACTTGGTTCTGCCGCTGGGCATTGGGCCGACCTGCAGAGATCAAAGTTGAGACACGTGCCTTGGAAACAATATATGATCTGTACATTCAATCATAACTGGGGAAAGTCACTCTTTTCAACTCCCAGGATCCCCCAACCAGCCATGGGTAAAATATATTCAAAAATATTTTTTCTGAGGTCTTAAATCAGATCCAATTTACCTATTTTATGGATTGAAAAAAGTGGCAGCCCAGGGAATTTGGAAGGATAGAGAGCAACAAAAACACCTTTGAGATGCTGCATCTCCACCCCCCACCCCCCAACTTAGCTTGATTTATTCTCTCTCCATGTTGGCCAGAGTACCAGAAATTTTAATCCCTTTAGCACAGGCATATCTAACTCAGGGATCACTTGTACCTAGCATAATGCTGCATCTGCTTTTGAACACTCCTGTTCACGGAAGAAAACTTCAACATTGGTATATGGTTTTTCCTATTGCCCTCAACTCTGCTTAGCATTATTGTCTGTACTATTGAGTCCTTTCTTCACGTGATATGGCCAAAATAGAACCACCTCAATTTAGTCATCTTCTAGGGAGAGTTTGGGTCTTATTTGCTCTAGGACTCATTTATTGGTCTTTGTAGCAGTCCATGGTATTCACAGAACGCTTTTCCAGCACCACATCTCAAATGAGATGATTTTCTTTCTATCAGCTTTCTTCTCTGTTCAATTCTCACAGTATGTACATAGAAATGGGAAATACCAGAGCATGGATAATCCTAATGTTAGTATTCAGAGCCAGTGTGGCATAGTGGTTTGAGCATTGGACTATGATTCTGAAGACCAGGTTTCAATTCCCAACGTGGCCATGAAACCCCACTGGGTGACCACAGGCAAATCATGGGAGATTATCAGATGGGGGGGGGGAAATCCAGGAGTAAAAGGCATATTCCTAGCATAATTGTGTGATTATGCTGAAGATTTTCAGACAACGTCATGCTCATCAGGACTTATCCCATGAAGATCTGTGAATGCTCCAGCAACAAACCATTCCTGGGACTTCCCCATGAATGGTTTGTTGCTAGAGCTTTCCTGGTTCTTCACAGAATAAGTCCTGGATGAGCACAATGTGTCTGAAAATCTTCAGCATGATCATGCAATTATTCCAGGAGTATGCCTTTTACTCCTGGCTTCCCCCACCCCCGCCTGATAATCTCCACACACTCTCAGTGTCAAGGGAAGGCAATGGCAAACCTCCTTTGCCAAGAAAAACCCATGATAGGATCACCTTAGGGTTGCCTTCAGTCAGAAATTACTGAAGGCACACAATGACAACCAATACATCTTTACACTTCAACAGCATTTTACAGTTAAACAATAATATTGCTGATATTTACTATTCAATATAAAACAATGAACAACACACTACAATAGGAGCTGTGGTTCTGTTGTTTGGCAATGGAACAGACTGCCTCAAAGGGTAGTGGGCTCAACTTCTTTGGAGGTCTTTCAATAGCAATCAGATGGGCATCTGAGTTTTTTGTATTGCTACATAGTAGGGGGTTAGAACAGATGGCTCTTGCAGCTCTGTCCAGCTCTATGATCCTAAATTCTAAGTGGAATCGTAGATTCTAAGAATCATAGAGCTGGACAGAGCTGCAAGAGCCATCTGTTCTAACCCCCTGCTAAGTATTGAAAGCAATATTGAGGTTTGCCACAGCCTTCTTTCAATCGATGCCAAGAAGCACTTCTTGTTGACCCATTTCCACTGGCTGGCCACAAAGCATAGCGTTCCACCATGCAGTAGCTTAGCAACAGAGAATCATAGGGCACTCTTTTCAACAGTTCCCATCCCTTGCTTCTCACCTTCTCTCTGTTTCACCTGCCAGCCATTCTTGGGAGCTGATTCATTCTTGTTGATTGGCTGGGTTTCTTCCAAAATGGCCACCTCCAGCTCTGCCTCATCAGAGATGTCTATTGAGGTGCAGAAAAAAGAAGGAAGGGGACCAGAGAATATGTAGAGGATGCAAAACAGTTCATAATCAAAACACAAAAACCAAAAACATTTTAATCTTATTGCAAGTTGCCTTACATCTCATTTCTGGAAGAAAGGTGAGATATAAGTGAAATAATTACATAAATGAAATAGGTGAGGACTTGTAGCTAATTTCTAAGGACAGAGATACCATGGCTCAATGCTATGGAATTATGTGATTCGTAATTATACAAGGTATTTATCCTTCTCTGTCAGACAGCTCAGGTGCCCCACCAAACAAAAAATCCAAGGATTCCATAGGACAGAGCCATGACAGTTACAACAGTGTCAAAGTGCATTAAGTCTACAGTGTGGCAGCAACCTCAGTCTAAAAACTGTAAATTTCAAAGGTTCTGTACAAGAATAATGTAGAAGCTCTAATTCCTGTGCAAAGGGCTGTGAAATTGTGGGGTGGTGGAGCAGTGGGAACACTTTGTTATTACCTGAACAGACTGTCTGGCTTTCCCCTTGACCATTGTTCTGTGTCCGGTTCATCTGCACAGTGTTGCCCCACTTATGTGCACCAAGATGGGCTTCTGGGACAGATTCCACCAGGAAGGGGTTGTTTGTATCTAGGGTTGAGAGAAGCAAAATTAGAAAGGCTGTGGGTCCAGCAATGGTACAACCTTTGGAGGATGGGTGCTGTGTTCTAATGCTCACTGTTACACAGGCTGTGTTCACTGCAAGATTCCATGAGTGGGATGCGCTCCTCAGGCCTGCGCCTTCCACAGCGTCCCTTCACCTTAGCATCTGTGTTGGCCTGAACCATAAGTGGCTCTTGGCGCTTGCGGCGTTGCTTCTTTTCGATGATACGGCGCTGAAAAAAAACGTGCAGACAGGCAGTTAGGAGAAAGCACCAAGAGTACGCTTGAAAAATATACACAGGTTATTGTATGTATTTCTAAAATTCATATACTGATTTTCAATGGGGGATCAGTCATTCCAAGGCTGGTTATATAATTTGGTAACTCACAGCCATCTTGAACAAAGACAGATATTTTGTTCAGAGTGGGGGAATCCATTCTGAACTTAAAATACAGCAATCCCAAGAGGTTTCCAGTTCTTTAATTGCCTTCCTTCTTATATTGCAGTAATGTAAATAATTCCTGGGACTCATAAATTCCATAGAACCCTGGGAGATTTGTTTCTGAATAGACGTGAACAGGATTTCTGACTCCCACCTGTTTTAACATATCAAAAGAACAAACTTCAAAGATGTAAAGCTTTCCATTCTTTCTGTTGTTGCTTTTATGGTTTAAGTCTTTCTTTCTATATATCTTTTCAAATTCTTTTTTATGTGCTTATCAATGTGACTTATTAGGTGGGGGCAGATTGCTCTTGTATGAAACTCATTTTCTTTTTATCTATAGCACCCAATAAAAGCTATTTTATTTTGAATATATCAAAATAAAGGGCTTTTTTAAAAACACACACACACACACAAAATATATTAGAATCATTGAACTGAAATAGCATAATTGTTGATTTGCAATTATAGAGGAAGGTTCCCCCAGTGCATGACACATGCAATGCAACAGATGATTTGGCTCTGCTCTTAAACTACCTTTTATACTTGGAACCCTTTCATGGACTTTACAGTTCTTATCAGAACTGGGGAAAGCTTTCTTTAAAAGACAACATCTCCCAAAGTATTTTTTTACTTCTTTAAACAAATCCAAACATACAGAGGCCAGCAAGCCTGAAGTCTGCTCACCCCTGTCTTCGGAAATGTCTGTGAGACTTGCTTGGTCTTCATAAATTCAGTAAAAGTCATACAAGTCAGTAATTATCTATTTCTAAAGGACTTTCCACCCCAAACCCAAAGCTGGCTCTACAGGTCAGGCATCCGAACTTTAGAAATCCCCAAAGTCTCTCATTTGGTTCTTGGGAAGATTTTGAAGATGCCTCATCAGTGTAAGTTCCCTTTCCTTCCATGACTGTATGTTTATTTAGATAAACAAGCAGACTTTGCTGAATGCACTAAAATCATAACATAAGCACAAGTGGATTCATTGGAATCATACTTGAGTTGTTTTAAAGAGGAAACTGTTCTGGTTAAAAACAAGAGATCTGCAAAGCAGAATTCTTACAGCATGAGTTGTACAGCCCACTTCATCAGATGCAGGAAGTATGAGGGAGTATTTATTTACAAATAAATAAATAATAAATCACCCAGAATTTAAGGTAAAATCTCTCTCTCTCTCTCTCTCTCTCTTTTGTGGGATGATGATAGCAGACAGCCAAGTCAGACAGAAATTAAATGTTGAGAGTACGGTAATATCTTCATTTTCCATCAGTTAAATGTTGTTCGGGTGAGAACAACTGCTTTTGACCAAAAGCTAAGGGGGGGAAAGTTTTTGGAGCATGTCTCCCAACTTTTTTGAATCTCTGTTCTGACCATGCTATGGGCAAGCACGAATGCCATCACCCTGTGATGGCAAACCTATGGCACGTGTGCCAAAGATGGCACGCATGCCAGGAATGGCACACAACACCATTTCCCCTGGCACGCAGTGCCTTTCCCTGCTTTGTCCCTGGCCTCCAGCTGTCTCTGGAGAGGCAGCTGGAGGCCAAGGAGGGTCAAGAAGGAAGAGGAACAGATGTGCATCTTCCTCTTCTTCCCCCCTTGGGCCTTCAGCTATCCCTGGAGAGGCAGCTAAAGGCGAGGGAGGGTGAGGGAAGAAGTCCCGTCCCAGAAATTCTGCCTCCCCGAGGGCGGAAGTCCCACCCCCAGAGGGCAGACATCCGGAAGGCCAGAAGTCCGGAGGGTCGGAAGGCCTTTTAGTTTAATTCAGCCCTTAAAAGGTTCGCCATCACTGCCATAACCTCTCCTGAGTCCGCCACACATAGATAAGTTACAGCCATCTTTCCCAACCTGGAGCAGTGTTGTGATTCAAGTATTGAACTAGGACCACAAGAAGCCTGAGTTCAAATGCCTGTTTACCCATGAAAACCCACTGGGTGACCTTGGGGAAGTCATACTGTCAGCCTCATAGTAAACCTCCTATAAACAAATCTTGCCAAGAAAACTCCAAGATAGGGGTTCCCAGCAGTCAGAGGGCCTTTGCAGACTGCTAGAAATAGTGCAAATTGAGACTACTTTAACTGCCCTGGCTCAGTGCTAGGGAATCATGGGAATTGTATTTTTTTTCTTGAGACATTGAGCCTTCTCTGTCAGAGAGCCCTGGTGCCACAATAAACTACAGTTCCCATGATTCCCTAGCACTGAGTCAGGGCAATTAAAGTGGACTCAATTTGCACTATTTCGGGCAGTCTGCAAAGGCCCAGAGTTAACTTGATGGCCCACAACAACAACAACAACGGCAAATTGCATTGCCTTTTTTTCTTTAAACAAGTTAACTAACTGCAGTTCTCCAGCTCAAGCGATGATGGTTCAAGGTGGCCCTTAGCAAGTTCATATTTGCCCCTTTTTGACATCTCACAAATTGGGCCCTGAAAATTCCCCAGTACCTGGAATTCCAGTTTCTGCTTCCGGAGGAGCGCTGCCTCATCGTTGCCATTGCTAGAAGAAAAATAGGCATCCACATCAGGTGGTGAACCAGGGAGGGAATGGAGGCGACGATACAAATTCCAGTACATTCTGAGATGTGGCATCACTCTGACAGTTTCAAGGCAGCCCCATCTCATGGTAGGCCAGTTCCCCCCAGGATTGCAGGCTTCCTGGAGATTCCAAATGCCATGATGCTTGAAAGGCCTTTGTGACCTCACAGGAAAGAGTCATGGATAGGATGGGAAATTGGCTTGTACGCTGTGGACCATTCAATCACAAGGCCAGTCAGACCATCTCCAGATGTGATTAACTCAGCTCCCATT